CTGCACTGCAAACAAATCAGAGCAGGCACAATTCCTTCCCTAATCTTTCAGCCTACTACTTCATGTGGAAGGGAAATGCTGTCTCTGCAGACACACTATCATTATCTGAGCATTTGCAATCTACAATTCGTGGCACGGAGCAGTGATAGGAGAAATGTCGGTAGCCTTTATTTCACTATTAGCTGCTGTATTCATGGAGCAGCCTCTCAGGGGAGAGGCCCTCACTGGAGCAGAGCTCTTCACATGTTGAGTTGGGAGACAGAGCAAAGGAAGCACCTCCATAGGCTCTCACTATTTCTGGAGGATTTGGAATCAGTATTTTTTTTTTTTTCTTAATTTGTGTTTTCCGTATTCCATTAAGGCAGTTTTCACATAGTCTCCTGGTACTTTGTTTGACTTTGCCAATTACCCTGGCAGTGTAACTGGAAGGTGGGTAACTGTGCTCTCACATCTACAGGGGCAGTTGGGAGCAACATGGAAGGAGACGATTCTTCATGAAATAGAAACACTGAACATTTAAATGTCCAACAGTTGTTTTGGAAAACCTGCTTTGTGCTAGAGGTAAAGTTACTAACCTGATGAATATTCTATATGAATTCTATCAAGAGTATTGCTATGAAGATTATCATTCATTAATAAATAAATACAGAAAATAACTACTACAATTAGGAAGAAATACATAAAAGAGTAACACACTATAGCATGAAAAGATACTGTAGCAGAATAAAAATCAGTTATCTTAGAAAAACTCTTCTTCGCATGAATTGGGAAGCTCTACTAAGTGACTGATATATTCAAGTTGAGATTAGATCAGAGGGAACTACGCACATGAAAAACACAGAGCAGTTCTTTGAGACAGAGAATAATGACAATGAAATTTATTTTGTTGGGGGGACAGGGTCTCTCTATATAGTTCAGACTGGCCTCGGACTCTCTGTAGCGCAGGCTGGCCTCCAACTCAAAGCAATCATCCTGCCTAGCCTCCCAGGTGATTGTATTAAAAGTGTGTGACATCGAGCACAGATGAAAAATTTTAAATTATAACAATAATGGTTTCATATACAACGATGTCATGATATCCATTCTACATGATTTGTTTTTGTTTTTGTTTGATACCAAGGATTGAACTGACGACCTCATGCTTGTCAGGCAGGTACTTATTATGCTACTGAGCTAAATCCCCGACCCTTATTCTACATGATTTGTTTGCAAATTAACACACTAACCATCAAAATAATCTATTTTATAAATAACAGGAAAGAAACAAATAAATGGTAAAATTGACGTGTTAGTATAGGACGCATGGTTTAAGAGACCATCTCTAAAATCCTAATAGTATTGTCTTCCTTGAACTGCACCTACAAAAGATGGTGTTTAAGAATGCTTGAAGCCTTGGCACTCTCAATTTTAGTAAGATTTATATATAGAAGCAAAGGTACTGAGTTCTAACTTTATTGTCACTTGCGTGTTCTAAAGAAGACAAAAAGAGCAGTAGATGCTGTGGTTAATAAGGCCAAGGGAGAGTGTCACTTTGTTTTGCCCTGCTGCTGTTCTTCAACGGTTTATTAAAATCAAAGTAAGAGGTAGGAAAGAAGAATAAGAGGAGAAAGTAAAGATACAGAGTGACTATTGAAAATTGAACAAGGTCTGGTGGTGTAAGGGATTAGAGTTGGAAGCATAGAAAAATAATTATGGAAAGGTTTAGCTACAATATTATGGAATGTGATTGGAGATTTATTTTTGTTAGTGAGTGATAAACCTTCCTAAGCATGGAGGTTGAGTAATTTCACAAAGTAGTAGAAGAAATAAATTTAAAAATAAGAATGACATTAGAGTCAAATGTGGATATAAAAAGACCATAAGTAAATTTGTTTTATACCACATACAGTACTACGATGTGTCAATAAATTCCAAAATATCAATTAAGATAAAGTATTTTGCTTGCCTTAAAATGAACAAAATACAAAGTTAAATATTTGAAAAATAATCATGTTACTAGGAGTTTTCTAGAATTTCATTTGCTAATCTATGCAATATATATGTGTTAGTGGGACACAGATTCATTTTACTTTTCAATTATTAGATGAGTCAAAACAGATAAACTTTAGGGATTACACAGATGTAAGTAATAAAACAAAAATGAAACAAATCACAGCACTGTGTGGATTCACTTATGTACCTGAAAAGAAGGCCTTATGCTATGATGAGATTCAATAATAGTTCAATTACAGTACATATTATGAAGGGCCAATTTAGGGCTAGAAATAAATGCATCAAGTTCAAAAACAGTTTCTGGAAGTCGATTGAAGGCACTGACAAGCAATTATATATTCACATAGAAATCTACAATCAAATAAAGTTGGTTTAGCTGTCCATACAGAAGCTAATTGACCAGATGTACTCCAGAATAAGACAATCTCATATTTGCATTGCACAAGTAAATGAAACTGTTAAACCAATTTCATCTAAATAAAGAGGGAGAATAAAATGAAATTTGCAAACATCAAGATAAAATTCAATAACTGATATGTTTATAAAAATGTGAAAAAAATCCATGGAGAAGTAAGGGAAATGGACTGACATAAATACCCTTCACCAAATCATTAAATGCCAATATCATATAGTAAAAAAAAGAGTTAAATTTATCTAATGTCTAATATAACAGGCATTAACACATATCTTACCATAAAAAATAAAAATGTAATATTATGTCATAGGACACAAACTATTAATTTTAGCTGTCGTGTTGTGGATTCTTTTTTATTGTTTGTATTTATGATACTGAAGCTGAACTGAAAGAGAAACTTATTACTTATATAGATAGCATTCACAAATTTTACCTGAAAACCTAATAGGTATGACATGTTTCAGATTTTATTGTTTCTAGTACTCAAGAAAAAAACTGTCAGTGTGCTAAATTTGATTTTGTTACTCTTCCTTTGCCAGCAAAAAAAGAGAAAAGTAAAAGTAAAGAAATAAAACCTTTGCAGTATAAATTTCCCATCTGTCAACTACCTTTCCAGTTGTTTTCAAGTGAGATAGTCTGAAATCACCTATTACATACACCTTTAGACTTTTCAAATCAATGTATTTCAAGTTCAAATTTTTAGGAGGTGGAAAGTGACAATGAAGACCCTTAAGAAAACATGGCACACCACAAAGAAAAGTCTTTGTGTAAAAATTAGAAAGATTTGGCGGTCGTTGGTATTAAGTTTTCCTTTTAAATGAATGCGTGTGAAGCATTAGCATCTTTTGTCAGGTCCTAAAGCTCTTCCCCGTCTTTTCCTGTTAGTATGTGTTTGCAGCACATAATGACTTAATTCCTCATCTGTAATTGCTGCAAATGCATCACACATCCTTTTTTCCTCATTTGTTTCTCTCCTCTCTGCCTTCTCTCTATCTCTTGGTCCCCTTCCTTTTTGCAAAACATGTATCTTTCTCTTGCCTATTATCTATATTTTCAATTTCTTCTTTATATTTTGGATTTCTCTTACAATACAAATTACGTGATAGTTATGCTTGTGTATCAAATTTATTTCACCTAACGTGATCTCAATGTGCATACATTTTCCTACAAATGAGTGAAGTTTCCAATCTTTAGGGCAGATACTGTTGTGTATAAATAACACACTGTCTTCTCATTACACGGAAAGGGATAGCATATAAACTATTTGATTCAGGGGCTTTCTCATATAATCACTATTTTCTGCATACAGTATTATGATCCCAATAAAAATGGACCACTGTTTAGTAACAGAAATGAAATTATATAGGAACATTATTAACATGGAGTATTTTCAGACTTTGTTCACTAAAGCTGAATTCAGAGTAATTGTGTCTATGAAAATGTATATTTTTATTGTCTTTGGAAGCTATTTTCACTACCTTCTTTAGCACACATAATCAAAAGTTTTAATGTGTCAGTTTATTGTTTCTCTGTTTAATGGGTATTGTGTTCCTTCTTTATGTGTTGTTAATTTGCATGGTTACTTATTCGTTTCATTTTTATTAGTGGTGCTTGCAGTGCACACAGCTGATATCCATCCTGGAGAGTGAGTATGTGTGCCTAATACCAGCTTAACTACTTTTTTAAGCTCCTTCCCTCCTGCCTTCCTTCTTCCTCCTCTGAATCCCTTTTCTCCATTTTTGTTCTTGTTGACATTATTAATCTTATCTTATGTTTATGATATATAATGTTTACACTCATTGAGGTAATGAGGTTCCTCTTCACATTGTATTTTCATCTATCTCCCTTCCCCTTGCTTCTCTCTCATCCTAGTTCTCCTGTATTCATACCCTACTGCTTGAATAAGCACAGTGTGTTTTTTTAAGACAGCACAGCTTTCCTCATGTAAATATGATTTTTCTTTCTTCCTGAATATTTTTAGTACTCCTTGGGATATATTGATCTTATCACCAATCTTCAAGTGAAGCCTCAGACAATTCTACAAAGTCCTGCAGCTATATCATGATGTAAACTTGGCATTTAAAAAAAAAACATTTGTATATTTATTAATTACCCAAAGTGAAATGTAATCTATAGAGACTAATACACATGATTTGGTGTAAAGGTGAGCTAAAGTGGCAAGGTAGGCTGAGAAGTTTATGAATTTTGTATTTTCTAAAGATTTGATGGGCATGAATTAATTGTTTATGATTTCTGTATGATTTCACTGTATATATGTTTAAGTGTATTCAATACTTTTTCATCTATTAAACACACTATATTTATTCTTTACTTTTACTTTATATTTGTCAGAGTGTATATCTTCAATTTATTAAATAACAACATTGGTTTTGCCCTGAGCTATGAGCAGGATCTTTTTTGCATAACCACCTTGCAACAGTCAGGATAGGTAGACCATTGGTAGGTATTCACCCCACTAAGTTTTAATTAAATAATTTTTGTTTTTCATTTCCACAAGAAAGTAGAAAAAAGCTCCCACTTGGGAAAGGTGAGAAAACTCATGCCAACAATCATATGCTTATAGAATACTTACATTATGTCAAATAAAATTCTAAGTGGTTCATGTTTAAAACCACAGATTTTGGAATCTTCTGCAATGTGTTTTATTCCCAAAGTTGCTTCTGCCTTGTATGATCTGTAATAAAATATTAATCTCAATAGCTTTCAGTTGAATAATTTATAGCAGTAAAATAAAAAAAAATATAATCTATGTTATAGGAGGTAATCATTATACAATATAACAATAGAACTCATTAAATTGATTGTTTCAGTTGCTTCCCATCCTGTTTTTTTTTCTACCAAACTTTCAAAAAATGTACATCGGAAACAGTTAAAGAATTCTAATATACAAGAGGGAAAAGAGTAGAACTTTTTCAATCAGGGTTTCACTATGTAGTTCAGGCTGGCCTTGAACTGGCCTCAAATTCACAGATATTCTCCTGCCTCAGCCTCCTGAGTGTTTAGATTATGCACCACGATGCCCAGCTCATTTTCTTCTTTTGAAGTGGATCACAGAGACTCATTAATTTATTCTATGTTGTAGGTGTTCTACTTCTTTCTCTAAACCACATTGCTGAGATATGGACTCTTTAGAACATAGGCATTTGAGGAGTAGAACTTATAAGAAATATTTGGATTTTTTATCATAAGTGAATCATGAAGGTACATGGTTAATTTGCTTGAAATAAACATTGACAATCTGATGGTTGTGGATCAGGGACAGAGGAAGGAATGACCTACCTTATTGTTACATCATCAGAGCATTCAGCTTTCTCTAAGGAAACCAAAGAGCCACATTTTGGGCCTGTAAGTGATCAACAACTGGGCATAGGTGGCAGGGCACTAGTGCCAGTCTCCATAATCTAAGAGCAAAGAGACAAGCTTGTCTTTAACCAAACGTGCCTGCCATCAGATCTTGGCCTCACCGCTTACCAGATACAAACTTCTGAGTTTTCTGAGATGGATTTTTTCAGTAACACTGTAAAATGCCATGCCCTCTAAAGTTATTTTGAAGAATCCAGGGGATACATGTAAGACTTCACAGGCTCCCTTTTGTTGTATTCACAGTCTTAGAACGTGAAACCATCAATCTTATACTTCAGTTTCAAGGCCAATATGTCTCATATACATTATACAGCAAGTAAAATTACTAATATGGAGAACTGTCATTTACTGACCGGTATGACTCTTGGATTTTATGTGTATGTCATGTAATAGTATTGCCCTTAGGGATGCTTACATCTCTGGTTGGAGCTCTACATGACACTGATAGTAGTCCCTAACTGATAGAGTCCCTAACTCCAGATGACCAATAAATTCTAATTTATTTATTTTGCAAAGACCCAACTTTAGTACTATATGTTTTGATTTTTCCTAGTTTTATAAATGTTCCAATATATCTTTGTCTAAATTCATTAAAATGAATCCTCTTGATTCCTTACTAAGTTAATCAGGACCCCTAATCTTACAAAAATTAACAATGTTCCAAAGTACACACTTTTAAAGAATAAATTTGATATTTTGTGACTATAATTAATTTTTTTAAGTTTTAATTTTTTAAGTTTTTTTAGTTTTTTAAGTTTTTAAAGTTTTAATTGTGATCCTTTCTGGATCATAATTAACTCATTTTAAATCAAGTAAAATAAATCATGAAAATCTCATTATAAAAATGATAAATTGGCATGCTATAAATATTTCTAAGATACTGCTACAGGAAAAATGTGCATGTTATATGATAATATGATTAAGAAATACTATACTCTGAAATTTGTAGTAATTAAATATTTTTCTCACAGTGTAACATGAATGCTTTTGTTTCACAAATATTTCAGAATAATGCAAATTGAAGTTATGATTTTACCCTAAAAATTGTGAAGTTTTTATAAACATATTTCTTATGTAGTAACTAGAAAATGAAACAGAGCTACAATAGATGTTAGTGCTATGTATCAAAATCTTGCTTGGCTCTTGCTTAGCTGACTAGGAGAAGTGATCTTCTTTGCTACCTTTAAATGTAATCATGTAACTTCTTTCAGGCAACGAAGTATAAAGTGATTCAAGCCATTTTTATGCAGAAGTTTTACACATCAGCACATGTATAAAAATCTGTATTGCTCATTAGTTTTGCAGTGGTGAACAGAAAATAGATCCACACATAATCTGAAATGGATATGTAGCCCTTTTGAAGAATAAAATTTTCTCTTTAATCTCCTAAACTTTTGAAATTTATTTATTACTGCCATGTAAGGTAGGATACTCTAACTGATGCGATAATTAAAGAAGTTAATGGTCATGGACGTAAACCAGTTTTTACATAGCCATGACAAGAATTCTGAAAACAATGAGAAAATGATAATAAAAGGGAAATAAAACCTTGTAAGTAAAAAGGGGAAGACGGGTTAAAGTGAGGGGAATGGGAAGAAAAAGAAGAATTGAGGTGTTTTGTATACAGGAACAAATTCCCTGGGATGAATGTGATTATTATGTATATCTAAATTGTAACAATGAACTTAGTGAAAAGGGGAAAAATAGAACTCTAAAATTATGTTTAGCATTTTTTTAAATTTTGAAGTTCTTATCGTATCCACTTACATGTTAAATTCTTTTTATCTGTGATCTTATTCAGTCCTCACAGAAACTTAAAAAAAAATGCATGCAATACTTCACTGAAGATTTTATGTTAGAGGAAACAGAGATTTACAGAGATTAATACTATAAATTCATGCAGTGAATATGCAGATGTAGACACCAAACACATCCTTTTTTTTCTAATTACGTCTAAATAACATGCTAATTATCTCTTGTACATTATGAAAAATGAGCAAATAAAGTGAACTGAATTAACCCTGAACAGTTAGTAATTGTTACTGTTTTAGCCACTTGTATCAAGAAACTTAATATGTGAAAGGCAAGGAAGTGGTAGACGATACATGTGCTTAGAAGAATAAGACATTAATTTTCATAACGGGATAGTTGGAGATCTTGGGGAAATGTGGAGGTGAAATTAGATTGAAAAACATGCGTGCGTCTGTTTAATAAACTACACAGAACACTCCTAATTAAGGAAATATGGAACCTGAAGCAAGCTATCTCGGAGAAGCTCAATCACAGCAAAGTAATGACATTCTAATTATGTATTATGGAATATTGTGAATCTCACAACAGCAAATGGGCAGAAAGTGCAGTCATGAATTCCCCAAAGGAGAAGATTTGAAATCACTGCTATTAGGAATTGAATCTTGAGACATTATTTGTATCTCATTTTCCCTAGAATGCATTTTCACTATGGAAAGAATAAGAAATATGTGAAGATAATTTACTCTTTTATAAGTCTAAAGTTTTGCAACAAAATTTAATATTTTAAAATATATTTTACCTAGATTAGTAACCTAAATTAGTAAGAATATAAGTGGTAAGTTTCAAAAATAATAATGGGCTTTGTGTAAAATAGTTTACACTTGATATTAATTAAAAAAAAATTCCACAAAATGGTCAGTTTTGAATTCCTATCTGTGTGTACATGTTGATACAAATTTGAAAGCAAATTTCTTAAGATATATTTCTTAGGCTATATTTTGACTATGAATGTCTTAGGAACTGAAAAATATAAGACATCATGTGTGCTTGAAGTAAGGTACACATATGAAGATGTGGGTTGTACATATTTGATATTTCATAATGTTCAAAGAGTGTAAAATTGACCAATTCTACTGACAAATTCAAAAATGCATGAGATTATCTTTCCTTTTATATATTTGTTTGAAAACTTATTATTTAGAAATGTTATATAGATTTCCTGATATAGTTTACTCTGTAGTAACCACAATTTTTAATTTTTTAATACAAAGCACAAAACTGTAATGAATAATAAATACAAATCCTTTAGCATTTTCTCAAATATTTTTGATACATTTGCTAATTAGAGACTTATAAAGTGCAAGATTTATTCCAAACAAAACAAGGATTAGAGAGTTGCACAGTTAGTTAAATGTTTATTTAAAGATGATTTTGAATGTCTTTTAAATAGGAAACAATTAAATTGTTATTCTTTTCCTTTTTGAACCTTCCTCATTTTCTGCTTCAGTGTGCAATGTGCAACATTGTCATATTAAAGGAAACATCGTGGAACATTAACAAAGATTTAAGTTCAAAAATTACAGCTTGATATTTTGTTTATACATTTTTTAAATCAAATCATTTGTTATCATTGTGTGTAGTAGGTTTCTCACAGCATCATCAGTCTTAGGGGTTCTGAGTTTTCTTTATTATATTTCTTTCATATCAGAGATGGAGTCAAGAGCATAACCTTAGTGTGTGAAGCCACCTGATCCCCAGGTCAGACTTTGAAGCTGTTTACATTTAACTGCCTGTTACTCTTTTTCCTGAAATTATAAATATGTCTGTTTTCCAGTTCATTAAAATAGCTCCACCCTCTGCCTGAGTCACTGTTATTGTCAAGAGTGACTAAAGAAGCCAGGTCCCGAGGCACAGAGGGGAGAGACACAAGTGTGACTTTATTCTGCTGTTTACTCTGGAAACTAACCTGTGCGCTGATGACATTTGCACACTTGTAACCTGGCTAAACCACAATACAAAGCAGGCAATTCTTGTTTTCTTGCCTAATAAGAAGTTGTATCTTCTACTGACTCTTTTGTGAATTTTTATCTAAAATATTTTTCAGTCAGACATTCCCTTCTTACATAGTCTCAGGTATTGTTTCTAATAAAGTGAGGAGTTCCCAATCTACCCTCAGGTCATAATTTATACTTTACAGCTCTACTTCTTCAGCTCTTAAATGTAGCGTAAGTAATTTATATCTTTAAATGCAGTGTGAAGAGTTAAACTGGAATTAAACGTAATTTACTTTATTCTCAGGTGTGATATCCTTTTGTTTTGATATACCTCCAGTTGGGAGGAGTTAAAAAGTATTAAACTTGAGTTCATTAACAGTTTTAGCTTACAATGAAGCCCCAGTAATTTCTGATCTGGTATGTGCAACCAGGCAATAAATTTCAGATCAATTTTCTTAGTTTGCAAATCTGTTTACATGGTAACTTACTCAGTTCTGTGCTTGTCTTTCATGTGTACTGACATTTTAGCTACTTAAAATAGAGGAATTTTCACACATAATATTATTTCCAATCCCTCCTTTGTATTTTTTCTTCCTTGACAGTCATATCTACCAAAGCATAACTCACAACAATTAAACACTAATGTAAAACCATGTAACTTGTCGTTCTGGAGAATTTACTTCTTTCAAAGATCTCTTCATTTTCTTCTCAAAGAAATTTTACATAATACAAAATATTTACTTTTATATTCAGTTTGGAAAGGTAATCAAGTTATAGTCATTATAGATATTTGATGATAGGATGATATGATTTAAATCCACCCAATAATTTATACTTCACCCAGTGCTTTCCAATGAATCATACCATGAAAATAAGCTTGCTTACTATTGTTCATTGGTGGGAACAATATAAAAGAATAATGTGACTTACCCCAAATTGTGTAGCTCAAGTGTGTTAATAGATTCCAACTCGGGAAATCTAATTTCAGATCCCTGGAATCTCCTGTTATGCTGACAGGGATTTCACAGAGTGAGACATTAAAAGACGTTACCAGTTAAAAGAGAATGTGATAGAACTATGCCGTGATTGCGGTTCTAAATCGCTTAAAATGTACATCTATATTTGAAGTGGGACAGAGAGAGAATGCGAGTCCTTGGCTTTCAGGAAAGATTGGAGGAAAATTGCATCATATTTATTCAGTGTTCAGTGATGCAGCAAATGATGATATCAATGTTTCCCAAATATCTGATTTGGCATCAAGTTCTAGTGCTTTCTATTTCGTCCCATTATGAATAATAATGAATGCATCAGTTAATCTCTCCCTGCCTTCACTTATTATACAAATATTTTAATTTCATGTAAATGCAAGGTTGCTATATTTTCATAGGTTTTAATATATCTTCTACTAAAATATGTACTCAATTGGAACATAACATTTGGTAGACAGAAAAAGCCCTATAAATATAAAAAACATAAAAACATATTACATGCAATGACGTGTTCATGTTTCTGGTAATTATATTTGGGGTGATAGTTGATTTTTAGAATTTAAAATACTAGAATAGGTTTTTCTTGAAAATAAAAAGAAAACTTTTCAGATGGTCTTTTAAAAATGGACTGAAGCATTATAAATAATATTTGATTATTCTGGGTCTATACTGATAATTTAAGAATGTTGATTTCTTAATGTTAAGGAATTTTAATCTTATCTTTATTTTAATAATTTATTTGTCTTTCCTCATTTAGCAGAGCTTTTACTGAGTGCCTGGAGTTAAACTTGCTATTAAAATAAATACACTAGGAAAGTTAAAAGAAGCATATGGAATCAGTTTTCAAAAGATAATTTGTCCTTTAACTACTTCCTTTTGAATGAGATGATAGAAAACAGGGGGGTAGATTTTGTGGGGGTAAAAAGGGGACTTGGAGAAGGAGGGCAAGAAGAGGAAGGAAACAGAAATAAGAACAATCAAGTTGTGATATGTGTATGCTCCAGTTTCCACAAGCAAATGTAATTATGTATTGCAAACATACACTAATAAAAAATAATAAAGCATCACAGATGCCTCCACAGAAATGCAGGAAATTATTGATACTAATTACAAAAATTTACATTCTAATGAGAGGCTAATGTCCCTACTTTTCCACAGTTATCTAATTATAAGTGACAGTATTACAAGATACCTGAAAGCAATAATGTAATTCTAATTAATATTTTTGTGGAATAAAGTTTTGGAAAAATGAATATGATACACAAATTTACTTATGATCATGAAACTGGTACTGGTAAACATAGTCAAAATGTAAACTACTACAATATATTGATTTATGTTTATAAAATATAATTAATATCCCAGAAAGTAGAAATTAATAGCCTAATGTTACCTACTATGTAAATATACTAGAGTTTAATACAGGTTCTTCTTCATTCTGCTATTTTTTGTGCTATCATGTTACTAAAAATAACAGTCTAAGATTTAGGTAGGAAGTTCAACAGATTTTCTTAGGTCCTCTTTATTTAGACCACTGGAATGTTTATGATGCCAGTTTATATGTCTTTGTGACCTAAAATCTGAACTTCAAAACAAACTTTGAATAATGATTAAGTGAGTACTGGGCTGTTGTGATCACATATCAAAGACTTTGCACATCTCTGGCTGACTCTATCCTTAACCAACAAAACCCATAAGAAACTCTGAAATTCCAAGTAAATGTTAGCACATCAAGCAGATCAGCATGACTTGCTAAATTCATATAGGAAACAAGAACAGAGGCAAGTTGTAATACACTCTTGCAACAAGAATATGTGAATTTTATTTTTTGAACTTAATAAACAAATTTTCCTGCTTTTGTGCATAGAGTTTCCGTGCCTGCTCTTTTATGATTCCTATATTCCCTTGCCTTCGCAGCGCACACATTCTGTATGCCTTCTTTGGCATTTTCCTCTCCTTCCAACCTTCACTTAGTATTTCCATTTCCACAAATTGTGATTAATAAACTGATCATTATGTTAATACTTGCCTCACATCAGGACAAAAAGAAAGTATTTTCAATCAGTATTTTCATTCACATAATGAATGACACATAATCACAGAATGTTCACTTCATAATTGCTAAAATCTCTTTCTGGCTTAGTAGCTAATCACGAGGCTCGCGAGCGCCCCTGCATGGACTCCCAAGGTTTAGTTTCTCCCATATTTTCCGCAGATACCCACAAGTATTTTTGTGTTCAATACCTGTCCTGTCTGGTCCAATACCTTTGAATCTGAGACACATTAACTTCAGGTAACGGGCTGTCACTGTCTGAATTCCTCGACTCAATTGTCAACAAAGTGCGCTGTTTATTTCCCCTAGTAACAAAGAATAGTGTTGAAGAAAACTACCTGAAGGGCCAAGTAAAATTAAAAGGAAAAATAAGAATTTATCTTTGCCTTACCTTTACATAGAATTTCCTTATTATTAGGTCTGAGACACTTTCTCCTTACTTAAGTTCTTGTACATAGACATCTTTTCAGTTAAAGGAAAAAAATTCATTTTGTATAATATTCTTTGCCAGAGAACCTGAAATATATATTATGTGAACTTGTTTTCCCTAATGTTACTCTAACTCTGCTTTTCAGAAAGGAAATGACTGTCTAATCAGTGTGGAGTGAAATATGTTCCCTTAACAATAGAGTTCTCCAAAGTGCATACTGCCTTTCTTGAAATGGTATTTTTCCCTCCCTCCACTATAACCTGTCATTATAACTGAAGATTCATTCAAACTTTAAAGCGATTAAGTTACAAAACTACCATAAAATGAAGGCTAAAATGCCTGCATAATTAAAACAAAAAGACTGACTTAAGTTCTCATCAAAATATCTACGTCTAATGAAGGTAATGGAAAGTTTTTAAGTGATTTTCGTCTCCCTTCAGAAACGGTTTACTCAGTAGATAAGTTGACTGGAAAAGCATTTTCTCTGTTTGCTTCAAGTTCATTTCTGCATCCCATTATTTCTCAATGTGAGATAAAATTCTGTTCAAGATCAATCAGAGAAATTTCTGAGTCAAAAAGTTATGAACTTATTAATTAAATTACAGTGAAATAAATAAATATTGGAGCATAAATAAATATTGTTATAAAAAAGGCATATTTATAAAACATAGTTTCAAGAAGATTGTGGATGTTTTATTTCAAAGGAATAAAAGAAATTCCATGACTTGCTTGGGGTTTTCTAAGGTACTGGTCTCCTGACTCCATTATTTACGAACTATGCTAAGTGAATTTATTCTTCGGCGAAAGAGTTGAATTTGAAAAGACAATTGAAATAGAAGGCTTTTATAAAGCAGCTACTGAGATGGGCCCTTCTGTTGTGAGTTGGAAGACTACTCGATACATGGACAGAAGTACTTGGCTTTCAACCCACTCGAGATGAAATAGTCTTGCGGTTTGTTTTCAAATTCTGTGCTTATAAAGACAAATGTGCAGGGTTCCTTAAGTGTTCCCAGATGAAAACTAGTATCATACCAGAGAAAGCAAAATCATATTGGAAGTCTTAAAAATGAATAGCAAGAAATGGGAAATATATATATAATTATATATTACAAAATATATTTTATATATTATATATTAATATTATATTTATACCTGGATTATTTATATATTACATATTATATTTATATATTTTTCTTACTGTGGAAAAATAAAATTCATTAGCAACATTCAATTTGCTTCAAATGTAAGTGAAGTTATTGCAAAATTAGTGTTTTATCTAAATATAAAATCTCAAATACAATCCTAAATGTTGCTGGTTGAACACATCAGGAATTCCTTTGGCTTGATTCACCTCGCCTGTCACATAACAAAAGTCTCAGGACTAGAAGCAGTTAAATACGTGCTTAACAAATTATTTCTGAAGCCTGGCTTTGGGCTGGGTATAGTGCTGGGTCAAGCTTCTCCATAATGAAAACTTGTTGGAAAAAGGAAAGTAATTTCAAATGTAAGGTAATGTGTTTTATGTGAGGAATCTAGACCTGGGTGATAAATTTAAAAAGTCAAGGGAGATATTTTTCAAAATTCTACAATAAAGGAGAAGAGCTGGACGTTTGAGCTCAATTCTATTAAAAACTAAAAGCAAAAAACGAGAATTAAGTGCTGGATTGGGAAAACAGATAAATGTGTTTGCTGACTGCCTTTTCAAAAAAAAACTTTATAAAATGTTGCATCTAAAGGGTCAAAGGCAGTATCTATTATAACAGGTAAATCAGGAGATCATGGTTAGGAAGAAATCTTTCTAAGTCAAGTCAAACAGAAGGGAACATTAGGACGTCTTTTGTCAAAGGATAAAAAATAAAACTGGATTCATTCTAAACTCAACTCAAGTGACCTATGAAAATATATCAATAATCTTTACTAAGCAGTACATTTATAGTCAAATCATTGTTTTTTTTTTTTCTTCTTTCCCATGTCCATTTATTTCTTGCAGCAAGATCTGAAAAGAGCAATATTCCCTGCCACCAGGAACACGTTTCAAAACAAACAAATATTTACATCACACAGTTCCTGCTACGCTATCAAAGCTCTAAAATTCATGTTGCCATGTTACGGTGCTTCACTTCACTGTAGCTTTTTAGACAGGAAGTATAAAAACCATTCAAAACCTTTTATCACTCATCTTCTACTTTTTAGAACCCACCCTTGTGTTTCGTGATGAACAAAAGATACAGAAACACATTTACTGTGACATGGTGGATGTCTAGTACCATTTGGGGAAACATTTTAGATAAGGTCTCCGTATAAAAGTTTTAATTAATTATTGAGCATGTTAATGAACACTGCAACACTCAAAATATCATCATACAAAAAATTTGCTGTGTGCTCTTATAGGTTGCCTTTGAACAAATCATCTCTCACATTTATAGGGCATCCATATCATAAATGAAATAAAACAATAACCAGACATACTTAAAAAAAAAAGAAGAGAAAAAATAGCACAAAATCTTTAGGACTGTATTAGTGAAGCTGTATTTTGAGAATGCCCGTATGTATGATCAGTGAAATAGTCTGAAGAATGAAATATTTTTTTGTAACTGCCCTA